TCCCTTCCTTAGTGATGGGGAGCTCGGCGCGTGTCCCGGCCGCCGTCAGCCACACATGCCTCGTTAAACACCGCACACAACGGCGGTTTCGCGTTTCCAAGTAACATAAACTAAATAAAATGAAAGACGAATTACAAAACGGGAATGAAAATGACAGAAAAATAAGAGTCAAATGAGTTTAATCAACCCCAGTGTTGCAATGGAAGTGGCGAGACCTGGAAACTCCCAGGGTTTAGAATCACAGTGACAGTCAGAGCATTCCAAATTCTCGTTTGAAAGAGGAAAGAGAGGGAGGGGCAAGGGAGACACACACAGATAGAGAGATAGATAGATAGAGAGAGAGAGAGAGGGAGAGAGAGGGAGGGAGAGAGAGAGAGAGAGAGAGAGAGAGAGAGAGAGAGAGAGAGAGAGAGAGGGAGAGAGAGGGAGTGGGAGAGAGAGAGAGGGAGGGAGAGAGGGAGAGAGAGAGAAGAGAGAGAGCGAAGAGAGAGAGAGAGAGAGAGAGAGAGAGAGAGAGAGAGAGAGAGGGAGGGTGAGAGAGGGAGAGAGGGGGGAGAGAGAGAGAGAGAGAGAGAGAGAGAGAGAGAGAGAGAGAGAGAGAGAGAGAGAGAGAGAGAGGAGAGAGAGAGAGAGGAGTGGGAGAGAGAGAGGGAGAGGGAGAGAGAGAGAGAGAGAGGGGGGGAGAGAGGGAGAGAGGGAGAGAGGGAGAGAGGGAGAGAGGGAGAGAGGGAGAGAGAGAGAGAGAGAGAGAGAGAGAGAGAGAGAGAGAGAGAGAGAGAGAGAGAGAGAGAGAGAGAGAGAGGGAGAGAGAGAGGGTGAGAGAGAGGGTGAGAGAGAGGGAGAGAGGGGGAGAGAGGGGGAGAGAGGGAGGGAGAGAGAGAGAGAGAGAGAGAGAGAGAGAGAGAGAGAGAGAGAGAGAGAGAGAGAGAGAGAGAGAGAGAGAGAGAGAGAGAGAGAGAGAGAGAGAAAAAAAAACAAGCAAAGCGATATTTGTAAACATTCCACCTTCGACACAATCAAAGCCACTAAGAGAAAAGACGAAGAACGAAAATAAAGACGGCAAAAGAGAAATAACGAGAAAGATAGAAAATGACCTTCCAACTTGATCTCGCTCTCAGAACATCCTATCTTACGCCGTGTTTATATATTTTTTTCGAATATCTTTTTCATAATCTTCAGTCCTGTTGAGGCGTGCAAATACATAGACTTGAGGAATTAAAACCTATTCCTTTACCACGTAGAAGTTAAAATTTATTCTAAAATAGCCGAGCTGTGACTGATTGCGCAAATACAAGAAAATGAAATAAGTGTGTCGTTAATATTCTTCATGAATTTTGCGTTATCATCATTTCAAATGTTTTCACACTTCCTGCCATCATAACTGCTTAATCCTTCTTATCCTTATAATTATCTACTTGCAATACCTATCACCAAAACACGCGCATGGCGTGCTCCTCCTTGTAGAAGGGCCTCCGCCCCGCCTCCAACTCCCCTCGGCCCGTCCCCGCGCGCCACTCGCCACGAAAAATCACACGACAAAGTCTCGACACATGAGAACCGCGAGTCGAGTGGAGGGAAACATTTCCAGAAATTCTAGCTTAAAAAAAGAAAGGAAAAAGAAACGAAGATGCAGGAGCAAAAGAAGAAACATTAGCAAAGCTCTCCGAACACTTGACTCGCATGCATATACATATATCTGGCTCAACACGCACGCACAGGTCCAAGAGAATGCGTGACAACCAAGTGCAATATATCACGGTTTTCTTCAGCGCATACGGCCGAGCGCATCTGAGAGCAGCATCCGGGTTCTTGATCTCCGACTCCGATTTTGACACTTTAGTCGCACTTTGTTATAAGCTTTATTCAACACCGACGCCACTCACCCCGACTCTGAACTTATTTGAAGCAAGAATTAACTTTGTTTACCTGCCACACGGTGAAGAAAATCGTTTAAGATCGCCCAGATATGGATCAATCTGGCCCTCGGCATGAAAGCTTTTCCCCCGGCGAAATCCTCCCCAAGACCTTATGCAGAACGGAGACTCGCTTTAATCTGGCTTCCTCGGCCACACTTTGTTTTCCTGACGGTGTGTTTGTTGCATCTAATTATCCTTTTGCTTTTTTGCTCTCGCTCACGTAAGCTACACGAAATGAATGTTTGCTTACATTAACATACGCGAGCTTATTCGCTAACATTAATTCACGTACGCACGAACGCTAATATACGCACACATTTGCGTTAGCTTTACTATACGTGACCATAAGCTCACACACTCAAACAAACACACACACTTATCGCACTGAATAAGCAATCCTTCTTCTTCCCTCTTCCTCTTCATCTCTCTTCTCTTCCTTCTCCTTCATTTCTCCCTCTCGACTATATTCCCTCGTACAAAATATAGGAAAGGGAGATAAAGGAAACCAAAGAGAATGAACCCGGGGAGAGGAGGAGATTAGATTTGAGGTCAAGGAAGGATTAAATGATGCAGGGAAAAAAGACAGGCTGATAAAGAACAGATAAAGAAAAGGATTAAGCGGTACAGGGTAAAGGAGGTAGAGTGAGGCACAACTGACTGAAAAGGATACGGTGGAAAGGAAGACTGATCGGATAAGAAAGTGCGCGTTTGTGTGTGTGAATGTAAGCAGATGCAGATTCTTCTTTGGCATGAGACAAAGATAAAACTGACATGTTCTCATCTTGGCAAAGAAAGGGTGGGTACTCGGAGACGAAAAAGGAGATACGTACAAAAAACAACAACAACAAAAAAAAAAGAGAGGAAGCGACGGTGCGTACCCAAGAAATCAAAAAGGGGGAGGAACAGTGCCAAGGAGAGGAAAGGGAAAGGGATAGAAGCCGAAAAGGGAGAGCGAAGGAAAGCGAGGGCAGTGCGGAATCCCAGAAAACAAAGGCAGGAAGGGGTAGTGCCCCAGAATGCAAAGAGGGAGCGAAAGTACCCGGGGAGTAAAAGGGGTGATGGAAGGTAGCCCGGAGAGGAAAGTGAGGGAGGAAAGAGGGAAGGGGCGGAGGGACAGCTCGCGCGAAAGAACTGCGAGACGTGAATGATAAGCGAAACCAAGAAAAGCGCCTCCACCCGAACATGCTGCCACATCCGCGGCGCGAGATTACAGCGCGGAATTCTTTTTTTGGGCGAACGGCTAAATACTTGTAAAAGCGAACTAGTCAAAAGAATGATTCATGTCCTCAGGGTCATAATGAATACTAATCTTCCCCAGACCCTCTCCTCAGTTGGGGGAAAAAACTGAAAAGGATACGGTGGAAAGGAAGACTGATCGGATAAGAAAGTGCGCGTTTGTGTGTGTGAATGTAAGCAGATGCAGATTCTTCTTTGGCATGAGACAAAGATAAAACTGACATGTTCTCATCTTGGCAAAGAAAGGGTGGGTACTCGGAGACGAAAAAGGAGATACGTACAAAAAACAACAACAAAAAACAAAGAGAGGAAGCGACGGTGCGTACCCAAGAAATCAAAAAGGGGGAGGAACAGTGCCAAGGAGAGGAAAGGGAAAGGGATAGAAGCCGAAAAGGGAGAGCGAAGGAAAGCGAGGGCAGTGCGGAATCCCAGAAAACAAAGGCAGGAAGGGGTAGTGCCCCAGAATGCAAAGAGGGAGCGAAAGTACCCGGGGAGTAAAAGGGGTGATGGAAGGTAGCCCGGAGAGGAAAGTGAGGGAGGAAAGAGGGAAGGGGCGGAGGGACAGCTCGCGCGAAAGAACGGCGAGACGTGAATGAAAGCGAAACCAAGAAATAGCTCCTCCACCCGAACATGCTGCCACATCCGCGGGCGAGATTACAGCGCGGAATTCTTTTTTGGGCGAACGGCTAAATACTTGTAAAAAGCGAACTAGTCAAAAGAATGATTCATGTCCTCAGGGTCATAATGAATACTAATCTTCCCCAGACTCTCCTCAGTTGGAAAAAAAGGACTTACGTCATTCAGTGCCCCCCCCCCCTCCTCTCTCTACTTGATATTATGTTTTCTCTCTCTCTCTTGCCAACATCCTCACTATCTCTCTTTTTTTCTCTCTCCATCTTCATCCACCTCTCTGCTTCTATCTATTCATCTGTCTGTCTGTCTATCTATCTGTCTCTCTTCCACCCCCCTCTTTCTCTCCGGCCCCTTTCTTCCTTCATTTCTATCCTATCACGGCTTTTCTTCCCCTTCCTTTTACTGTCTTCCTCCATCCCATAATTCAACTTTCCTTTCTCTCTCCGTGACCTTTTTTCTATGAACCTTTCTCATGCGCTATCTGCTCCCTCTTCTTCCACTACCTGTCTTCCACACCTTCCCCTCTTTAATCCTCTATTCATTCCATTTCTAAGTTATTTTCTAAGTTATCGGCTATTCTCTGCTTCCATCGACTCTCCCCTTCAGTCCCTTCATTAATCGCTTATTTCTTTCTCCCCATCCCTTTACTCCCATTTCCTTCCCACTTCTCCCTCCTCCCTTTCCTTCCTATTCCTTCCTCCCTGTTTCCTTCCCTTTACTTCCCCTTTTCCCCCTTCTCCCTCCTCTCATTTCTTCCTTCCCATCTCCCTCCTCTCCCTCCCTTTCCGCTCCTTTCCTTCCCCCTCCCCCTTGCCCCCTTTCCCTTCCTCTTCCCCCCTGTTCCCTCCTTCATCCTTCCCTTCCTACCTATTCCTTCCTCCCTGTGCCCCTTTCCCTCCTCTTACTTCTCATTTCACTTCTTCCTCCCCCCCCTCCTCCCCTGTGCAATGGTAGCGTTCTCGTCTAGCAATTTTGCTGACCAGCGTTCAATTCCCCATCCCTGTGGTTAGTAACCCAGGGCACTCCATGCACACAGATGGGTAATTTAGAAGCAAGATGAAGCAGACAGTCTGGCACACCAAGAATAACAATTGTAACAAATGGAATAAGATCAAATCATAATCATATTTATCATACTTCCTTCTTCCCCTTTCCATCCCTTTCCTCCCCCCCTCTCCCCTCTCCCCTCCTCCCTCGTTCCCATCGGTCACCCACCTCAGCCAGGCCGTCGAAGCGAGCGAAGAGTTCGTTGAGCATCTTGACGAGCTCGGAGGCTGTGTAGGTGGACGAGATGGCGGTGAATCCCACGATGTCCGCGAACAGGATGCTGCGGGAAGGAGACGAGACGGACTTAGTCATGGCAGAGGACGCGGCACGGGGGGCGCCGCCTGGCACGCGGCTTTAATCTCTCTCGCTCGCTCTTACTTCTGTGCTCTCTCTTACTTTCTCTCTCTTTTTCACTCTCACTCTCTGTCTGTTTGTCGTTCTCTTTTACTTTCTCTCACTCTCATCCTCATTCTGTCTGTCTGTCTGTCTCTGTCTCTCTGTCTCAACAAATGGATGAAATACAAAACACTGAAAGCACGTACTATTCACACATTGCATTAAATACGACCATAACTATTGTATATCACTAATCCATCCATTGTGTTGTAAAATATTTGGGCTACATCAATGTGACATTTTCATCGAACAACTGAATCAACAACAATTTCCACTTCTTATGAATAACATATATATAATGAATAAACGTAACAAACGAGAGAGATAAATAATAATTCAGCCCTAACCAACCAAAATCATTAAACAACACAAGAGACAAAGAAATACTGTATTTTCTCGTGAGTAAAAACAGGCAGACTGCAAGAGCTGAAATGCTGCCTCGAGGAAATGCAATGGGAAGGTGGACTGTTGCAACCCTAATGCAATGGAGTGTGTATTGCCAGCTCCAATGCAAAGAAGTGCTGGGAAGAATAGCGAGCGTGTAACAAAATGGGTCAGGGAGATTTCCTCAAAATGAGTGTGACATGTTTCACAGCACTGTGAGGGGGAGTGTGTGATCCGCCGTCGGGTGATGTGGCGGTGAGTGGGATAGAACGCGACGCGGACGAAGTATGATGAAAAGTATGAAAAGTGCGGTTCTTGAATAGTGGTGAATAGTGTGGGGGAAACGGGAGATGCTTTTACCTGGATTACACGTCTGTGTTTGTTTTGAAGCTCTCTAAATAAAAGAGAGAGGGGACAAATCCTAGATTTAGTCCATCCATTTCAAACGGACGGTTTTTCTACTAATATATACATTTCTTCTCTTTGCACTTACAACATCAAATTAACTAGATTAGTAAACTTACTGAATGTGTGAAACTTATGAAGAAATTATATTTACATAATTCTAATATGTGTCCTCAATAAGCGAAAAGGAGAAGTGAGAAGGATAGAGAAGGGGAGAAAGAGGAAAGGGTGCCGAAAACGGACAGAGAGAGAGAATAAAAGGGGACGTGGAGGTGTAGGAAGAGAGAAGGAGACAAAGGGAGGGGGAGGAAGGGAGGAAGAGAGGGAGATAGAGAAATAGAGAAATAGAGAGAGATGAGGGAAGGAGGGAGGAGATAGAGAGTGAGAGAGGGGAAGAGAGATGAAAGGGGAAAATGCTCTATCGACTCTATTGAGAACCATGAGAAGTAAGTGAAACACGGGTTTATAATACCGTAGAGTTACAACGCGCTCAGCAAGGACGTTCATCAATACCATCATCATCATTATCATTATGATAATGATAATAATAAAAATCATCATTAATAGTACTAATATTATCATCATCATTCATATTTTCATAATAACTGTCGTTATTATCAATATCATTATCATTATCATTACTGTAATTATTACTATTCCTATTATTATTGGTATCATCATCGTTACCTCCCTCCCACATTAATCCCTTCATCTGCCCCCTCTCATTTTCTCCTCTTCCTCCTTAAAGTCCCCCACCATCTTCGTTCCCTTTTCCCCTTCCGTCCCTTTCCCTGCCCCCTTTTATGGACCCCTCTCCCGCCCCTTCCCTTCCCCTTTCCCCCCGTACTTCCTTTTTAACCTCCTCCTCGGACAGTAGTGTAAATAATAAGCGTCGCTAAACTCACGGTCTAACAACTAAATAATAATAATGATGATAACAGTAATGACAATACTAGAAACTATGATAATAACAGAGGTAGTAATATGAGCGCGCGCCAAGCTTAATATTCATTTTGTCAATTATCATTGTACACCAAAATGACATTACTTAAGTCCGCAGTCACATGGAATATTCCAGGCATAAGATGTCCATCTTATTTTTAAATGAAGACACTACAAGTCCACTGTCAAATGGAATGTTCCCAGGCGTTAAATGTAAGCGTACCGTGTTAACAAATGGGCGGACGAAACACAAGCAGAATTATATTATAGATACCATACTAATACCAACAACAACAATAATAATAATATTAATAATAATGTATATTATTCGTATTACAGTAGTAATACGAATAATAATAATAATAATACAATAATAAAACAATAAAAATAAAATAGTACTACTAATATTACTACCATAATAATATAATAATAATATTAATAATAATAATAATATAATAATAATAAGCTAATAATAATAATAATAACAACAAAAATAGTGGTAATGATCACAACAACAATAATAATTACAATAACAGTGATTCAGTACTAGTTCATGACGTCAGCATAAATCATACATTTCATACATTTTGTGAACGTAATATATATAGTACAATAACACTACACCGTTTTTTCTACGAAACTCAAGTTTTTTTCATACTCATATATTACATTTCCCACATCAAAACAGACCCGAATATGGATGATTTGCACATGAATCAAAATCTTAAACTGGTTCTTCTTATAATATAATTCTTTGTCGTTATGCCGTTAATTTGTTGTTTTTTCTATAACGAAATCAAGTAAGTAATTACTCTTGCTATCGTAATTATTAATACCATATCATACACGTTATCATTACTATCATTATTTATTTATTAATTTAAAAAATGTATTTGGCGAGGCGAAGATACACAGAAATGTCGGTGATGAATGAATGCAATATTTCCGATATTTCCATCTGTGTACTTCAATTATCAACTAATCATCATTGCCAGAGGTATTGCCAGCCTCTGCCTCGTTGTCTCGATAGGAGAGAGTACAGTGATCGTCTGAACAAAAAGTTCACCATAAGACTAAAATCCATAAAAAGCGCAATTAAGGAATATCATGCGCTGCAACAAGATTTATCTGTCTCGAGAAAAATAAGAACAATGCAATCTTTGAAAGCAAAACGATTAAAAAGTGTACAGCGAGTCAGGCTTGAATCCGAGCCATTATTTACGCCTCTGCCTAATGTAATGAAGTATAATGCGATTCTAATGGAAAACACATAAAGAGAAAAGGAAAGGTAAGGAAAGACAAAACAAAGAATGTAGGAGAAGGAAAGAAAAGAGGATAACGTACAGAGAAAGGGGAAATTGTGAAATTGATCTCCATCTCTAATTATGTTAATCTTCTCCCTAATGTGACATCTAGCCCCGGCATCACGTGGCACTCGGAGCCTGCGAGTGCCACGGCGGCCGACGGTGAAGGACACCTGCCTCTTCCGATAGCCTCATGATTAATTAACAAGCCGCCATTGTGTGCTGCATTATGTCGATGCGCGCGCCACACAATGCCAAGAGAAGGCGGGTAATCACGGAACGCCGTGAATGGAAGCTTATTAGGACCAATATGGAGGAGAGCGAGGGAGGCCGCAAGAGGGACGCCGCAGGAGAGAAAGAGTGCGTGAGAGAAAGGGAGAGGAACAAAGTGAGAAGAGAAGAAGAGAAACAGATGGTTACGTAGAGAGACAGAGAGGGGGTGTCAAAGGGGCGACGCAATAGAACCAAAATGTACCGAAGCAGGCGAAAACAGGAAAGAATAATGAGAGAAATACTTCAGAAAAAAAGAGAAACGAGAAGGAAAGGCGAACCCGCAGCAACATGAGATGAGATTTTACGTTCGCGGCCAACGTGCTCGGAGGAGTTAGGCTCAGGGATTTACTCTCGGAAAACCAATACGGCCGCGCTCTTACACCTGCCGCGGCTGCAGTTACGGAAAAGTGTAATGCCTGCACTTCCTTCGACCAAAATATTCCGCTTGAATTTTATCTAATGCTCGGGCTTTTGCCTCCTCTGATGTGCACTTCCCAAGCCACCCCACCCCCCCACCCACGCGACACAAACGCTCCTTCATGTGGCAAAGAACCTTCCCCCCCGCGCGCCTCAGGATCTTTTCCCGAGTCTCAAAAGGGCAGCTGTGGGCGGCTGTCAGGGGCATTTATCGGGGGAGGCCTTCGAGGGCGGCCTGCGGCTCTGGGCGCAATCACAACGTCTTAACGAAGCCTGTCAGAGGCACGTGGTCGCGACGGCCTTGGAGTCGAGGTTAAGTTACAAATTTGGAATTCGGTCACGGGATTTTAATGAGACCTAAAGAGGAGACGGAGGAGTAGGAGGAGAAAGAGAGGGGGGAGAGGAGGAGGAGGAGAAAGAGTAGGATGGAGGGGGAGAGGAGGAAGAGGGGGTAGAGCACGAGGAGGAGGAAGAGAAGGAAGTGGAGGGGATGAAGAGGATGAGGGGGGGAGGGGGAGGAGGAGGAGGAGGAGGAGGAGGGAGAGGAGGGGTATGGATGATGGTGAGGAGGGTGAGGAGAGGAGGAGGATGAGGAGGAAGGGGGGGGAAGAAATGTAATTGGAGAGGATGGAAGCTGCCACTGGCTTTGTTATTCTTCGCGAACGAACTGTAATGTAAATCGAGAGTCTACGTCACTGTTAGCACGGGCGCTCCACCGCTCGCCTGGACGTCGCAACCATCTCGCACGTTTATCGTTATGTTCCTTTCTGCTTTTGCTATCTCTCTCTCTTTCTTTTTCCCACTCTCTTTTTTTCTTTCTCTCTTCTTTCCTCCCTTCCTGTCTTTCTCCTCTTTCCTTTTTCCGGATTCTCTCTCTCTCTCTCTCTCTCTCTCCCTCACCTTCTTCTCTTTCCTGTTTCCTTCCATCTCCCTTCATTCACGTCTCCACAAAAGCCTTGCTCTTTCAAATAAATAGAAAAAAAAACTTTTAATCTGGAAGTATATATATATATATATATATATATATATATATATATATATATATATATATATACACAAATACATACATATATATATATATATATATATATATATATATATATATATATATATATATATATATATATATATATATATGTATATATATGTATATATATGT